ACCCATAAAGGATTTTCAATCTTTTATTAAAGTATTTATTATTTTACACCTGTTCAAACAAGTCTATTTTGTATTTTTTCCTTATAGGCAACCCTCTGGTAGACATTTCTTCAGGTAAAATTAACTGGTGTTGAAGTACTGTTGTATAACCTGATCTCTTCTTATCTACCTTTTTCTCACTGATGCTTTCTCCAAATCTATGGAGATTATAAATGCAACCTATTTATATATTTTTATTTAATTAGAACAGTCAAAGCAGCACCATTTGGAATACAGAATATATTTATTTACTGAACTCACCAGACAAGCCACCAACATTTGCCCAATTCATTCTAGTGAGGAAGATATTGTCTAAATGAGCCACTTTTAACCTGCAATAAAGGCAAGACTTTTAATGGAATTTACTAAATTAATATTTCTACATGCTTCTGTCCATCAGCACATCCATATCATCCTCAATACCTCATTCACTCACTGATTCACTCATTAATTCATTCAATTTATAAGCCTCTTCAACTATCTAAGCAACTTTAGGTGATACATTAAAACAATAAAACAAACCAAATTCAGTAATAAGCAATCACAAAACTCTGTGTTACTATTTTAGGAAATGAATAATCAAAGAACAAATTTTAGAATCAGCAAAGGCTTTATTTTTTATTTTATTTATTTGTTTCATTTATATGCCACCTATCTCATGTGACTCTGCAACTGGTATACAATAAAACCATAAAAGCTATAATTACAAAATACTCTAAAATTAAAGCATAATTATTGTTAATTTCATACTGTTTATTAAAAAAATTGCCCCATATCACGAAGGGCTTTAAAGTAAATATATATTTACATACATACATACATACATACATACATACATATTGAATATATATATATATTGAACCTTAATGCAGCTGGTAGAACAGAAGTGTAAGTGTGCCCTTCTAGAGGCAATAGATCTGCCCAATCCACTGCATTTTGCACTAGCTCAACCTTCCAGATATTTTTAAAGGGCAGACCCATGTACAGCGCATTACAATAGTCCACCAGGGAGGAGACCAAGGCATGAGTGATTGTGAGCAGAGTCTCCCGATCTAGGAATGAGCACCACCACCAATGCACAATTCAAAACTATGCAAAAGTCCTCCAAGGCACAATTGCTACAAGCTCTTTAATCAGGAGTCGCAAGTCTAGGAGGACTCTCAAAATGTGTACCAGGCACAGTCTCAAGAGTACTTGCTTGGCTGGGCTCGTCAGTCGGAATCTTGACACCCATTCATATAAAAGATGGTATAGGCCCAGAATGAGAAGGCCCCAAACCTCAGAGCCATTCGGTCTTACCAGGGTTCAGTTGAATCCTATTGTTCCCAACCCGTATCTCTACAGCCTCCGGGAACAAAGATAGGACATCAATAGCATGCTTGCCAGGGGTGGAGATGTATCATAATCATCAGCGTACTGATGATATTTTACCCCATGGCAATGGATCAGCTTATCCAGCAGCTTCATGTAGATATTGAATAGGAGCAGAAATAGCACCAAACTCTGCAGCATCCCAAAAAGTACAGGACAAAGGCAGGATCCTTCCTCCACAATCATTATCAACTGGTATCAACTCTGGAGAAAAGAGGGGAACCAGCACAATACTGTGGGTCCACCCCCAATCCCTGGAGCTGGTCCAGAAGGATATTATGATTCATGGTATCAAAGGCCGCTGAGAACTCCACAACAAGGAAAGATGCCTAACCCACATTCCACTGCTACCAGAGATTATCCAAAAACTGGATCCTGGCTGAATGGAATTCAGATAATCCATAAGCTGCTGCATGACTACATTCTCCATAACCATTCCCCAAAAGATATAAGATACTGGGCAAAAATAGTCCTTGCTTAACAATCCTAACTGGCACCAGAATTTCTGTTGCAAAGCGAAGTGGTTATAAGGTGAAATTCCTTGTGACTGCACCACTTAGCAATGGCAATTCCAGTAGATCCAGTTGTGATCATTAGGTGAGCACTGTCATTAGTTGAGGACCTCATGCTTCTCCTGCCCTGCTGCACTTGCCTGTGCTTCAATTCCTCTCACTTAGTATCTCTCCCCATCTCTGCCCTTTTGTACTCCACCACCTCGCAAAAGCCTTACAAAGGATGAGATACACCTTGCCAGCAGGAGAAGAAGACACAAATGTCAGCTGGGGCAACAGGGGTAGGCAATGGCAGCATGGTAATAGTTGAAGTGCACACTGCAGTCATAAATTCAGTCAGGTGTCAAGTACCCAAATTTTGATCATGTGACAGAGGGGGCATTGCAATAGCTATAGTGTTGAGCACTAGTCATAACTACCATTTGTTTAGCACTGTGGTGACTTTGAACAGTTGCTGAATGAGCGGTCATTACACAAGTACTACCTGTACTAGAATATATATATATATTCATCTAAGAGTTCCAACATTACAATTATTAAGTGGCAAATTCTTTTTTGTAAGTTTGTGAAACCTTACCGCTGAGGTTCAATACTAGGTCATGGTTGTGGGTTCAAAGTTGATTTGTAAATTAAGCAGATAACAGTTTTTTAAATGTTGCATGAATTTGCTCCCTGCCTATCAATGGATACTCATGTACTGTATGTAATGCAAAGGGCAAAACATCTGATGCATGATTATAAAGAATGAACTTTATATGCCCCTTTGCTCCCTGACAGCAAAAGTTAATCCTATGTGCTTTCTGAATTAAAGCATCAACTGGGGCACTTTTCTTTTCTTCCACACACTGAAACTGGCCAGCACAGCTTCTTTCTTCTCAGAGCACTGACTATAATTCACAACAGCATTACTGGGATTTAAAAACAAAAGCTGTAGGTAGTAGCTGAGACCATCTAATATTTCAAGGTGGCATTCCTATTTTCTCTCCTATTTTGATCCCAGTTAACCACCACACCTTTGAGGCACTCCACTTTGTTGCCCCTCATTCTTTTCCCCAATTCCACCCATGATTTAAAAATATTTAACACACCTCAATAGTTTTACTGTATTTTTGATTCACTTACTTGTGTTCTTGCATAAGGCGTTGTATTCCTTCTCCACAGTTAAAAAGATATCTGAAATGGAAGAATAATTCGAATTATGATAACCCTATCTCTAATGGCCCAATAGCCTAACTTCTACTGCTCTTGAACTGAGCAAACAATTAAAAATGTTAAAAAGGAAGTATACCGTAGGATAGTTATGTTTAATTAATATCAACCATGCTTGACTGCTTGAGCTTTCTTTCATCATTTAAAGGAGGCTAGTCACACACACATACACAAGGATATGCTTCCTAGAAAGCATCCAGAGATGAGGTAATTAGTTCTGCAGATTACAGGTAATCCTTGACTTACGACAATTTAGCCCAAAATTTCTATTGCTAAGTATGCTTTGCTCTATTTTACAACCTTTCTTGCCAGTTGTTAAGTGAATCACTACGGTTGTTAAGTGATTCTTGCTTCCCCATTGAGTTTGTCTGTCAGAAGGTTGCAAAAATTGATCACACAACTCTGGGACACTGCAACTGTCATAAATATGAACCAGCAGCCAAACATCTGAATTTTGATCACGTGACCATGGGGACGCTGGAACGATTGTGAAAAACGGTCACAAGTCACTTTTTTCACTACCGTTGTAACTTCGAGCAGTCACTACATGAACTGTTGTTAAGTCGAGGACTTCCTGTACTACACCAACATAAGAGAATGGAGGCCGATGTAGTACTGCGGTGAACTGAACGAAGGAAAGACTCATGCGATGCCTCTCGCACGTGTCTCACCGGAACTGGGAAGGAAGTGCAAACATCAGGCGGAGACTCACCGGTTGTACTCGGAGAAGACGTAGACCGCCGCCCCCATGTCTCGCGATCCTCCTGCCACCACTTGCACATAAACGGTGTTGGGGCCTTTGTCGATGGTCCCGTGGCGTTTCTCCCGCGCGCGAAGATGCCGCAGCGGGTCCTTCGGGGGACGCTGAAGACGGGCTCCCCCTCCAGACATGGCTCTGATCGTCACCCCCAGCAAATGCTTCCACATGTAGCTGAGAGAAGGGCGCCGCATCCAGCCCAGACACCGGCACGCGCTTGCGCTCCCACTCCCCACGTGACTGAGCCCGGACCAATCCGACTTAGAGCGAAGCGTTCTCCGCCTCGGCCGCCAATCACCAGGCTGGTTCACAGGACATAAACTGATCATAGAGACTAAGGAGTTGAGGTGAGTTTTCCGGTTTCGCCTGTTTTCGTGTGTCGCCTTAACAAATGCATAGCATCCGAATTAGGATATGGTGGCTTCCAACTTGCAACACCGACTTACTAAATTGGGGAGGAAAAAACTGACTTGTCCTCGAGTTCAACTAATCAGTTATAGCCCTTGTTGCCTTCTACCCCTAGCAGTGCTTCAAACTGACATCCCTCCGCCCTGTAAAACCGTATTCATCTATTGCAAACACATTGGAAATCCCAATACATGGCCGTTCGTCTCCAGAAGAAACGGAAGAGAATAGGAATGAGCCATTACACTAGCTTACGTTTCCAACCGAAATCCTGGAAAGAAGTCTCCAGAAGGAACTATCCCAGTAGAGTGAATTGCATATGCTGAGAAAAGGAAATACCGATGTCTTCTGCAGCAAAAGACCCATATAACTCCTTAAAGACTAATGTTGATTGAAACTAAAGCTTCGATGGAATAGTACATTTAAATCTGTGGGGTGCCACAAAACGAATTCATTGAATATAACTGCCTGGAAAGTCCAGACTCCAAAACTTTAACTAACATCTGCAAAGGGAATAATTACTGAGAGTCTTTAACAAACTTCACTTTAGAGCTAATTATATGATCAATGCAGCAAAAATATCAAAAGAAAAAGTGGTTTGGCAACCTCAAGTTAAATTCAGTAAGGATGCTCATTTGGAATGTAATTGAATTGAAATATAATAAAGGAGGCAAAGTCAACTACTCCCCTGAGAAACATATTGAGGAAGAATACTGTATTTCACTGAATGCCAGAACATAAGGCATTCAAATAAAAGGAAATGTGGGTTTAACAGTATCTTGCTGCATCTAAATCAAGTAGTTTATGGATAAGCACCAAAAGATGAATTAAAGGTAAGTCTATTATACCCCTGGGCTTTCAATATTGCAGAGCAAAATTATAGTCACAAAAAACAGCTATTGGATATAGTTTGTGCTTTATAAAATTTCCATCACTGCATATTGGAAGAGCAGCAAGGGTACAGAAGGAGTGCAAATCATTTGAAAGCAAACTTTAAAAAGCCATCTGGGTTAGTACATCCATTAGCTTTCTAAAAACATAAAAGGTAAAGGTTTCCCCTGCTCAATTGTTTACGACTCCAGGGGGCAGTGCTCATCTCCGTTTCTTAGTAGAAAGAGCCAGTGTTGTCCAAAGACATTTCTGTGGTCATGTTGCCCACATGACTATAGGCCAAGGCACACACAATCCTGTTACCTTCCCACCAAAGTGATATCTACTCGCATTTACATGCTTTCGAACTGCTAGGTAGGCAGGAACTGGGGCAAGTAACAGGAGCTCACCTTGTCATGCAGCATTTGGGTCTCAAACCCAGGCTTTCTGCTTTCCAGCTGAACCATTGTGCTCCCAATATGTCTAAAACAATACTGATACCCAATGAAAGCTGTTAAAATTATAGTTGGAGGTGAGATGCAGCAGATAAATTGTGACTGTAAATCGTACATCAGATAAATTAAGTCTAGTCTAAGAGCAATGTGTGGTACCTCCAGGAGATGTAATGTTTAAAAATACTTGTGGGAAAGTATTGCAGTAGATAGGTAGCCTGGTTTAAAACCAGTGATGGCATAGTACTTGACCATCCTTTTGAAGTAAGTGCTAAGATGCTTGAATTGGAATATTCTGCTCCGTGAATGCATAGTTGTGAATATTAGGATAGTATTTTGGGAGAGAGTAACATTTGCCACCTCAGTGAGATAAGACTGCTGGGTTGGTTGCATCAACATATAAAGAGTAAGGACATGCGCTAAGACTTTGTAAACTGGCCAAATGTGCAGATACTGAGCCTAGGGCAAAGGGGTGTTTTTTGTATTCTTTGCACTCATTAATCAAAAGATGTTATTACTATCATACGACTCCAAGCTGTGGCAGAGATTGAATGATACAGAGCAAAGTACAAAAGTGAGGACTGTTTTATTCATATATATTGGGTGTGTCTATTTTTTGTTACAAAAACAAAAAATGGGAAAGTAAAGCATTTATCTGAACTCCATCTACTGTATCATAATTCCTAACCTTATGTTTATTCTTGATATTCTTTTGTTACCAAAGAATAGAAAATAGCTATGATTCCAATGTTATTTTTATCACAAAAACACAATTTTCAAAGTGTAGGAAGAAAATCTCCATGTCATCTTACCTGATTTTCCAATGAACCCTGAGCAGAATGCTTGCTTTAGGAGGATTTGTCTGGGCTTAGTCACGTGAGAAGGTGGATTCTTTTGAATATTCAGCATAATATCTTTTTCCATGCCATTCTTTTAGTCCAACATTTTAAAATATACTTTTGAATCATAACATAAGGATAGTCCTCAGCTTACAACCACAATTCAGCCCAAAATTTCTGTTGTTAAGCAAGACAGTTAAGTGAATTTTGCCACATTTTACAACCTTTTTTGCTACAGTTAAGTGAATCACTGTTACATAGTTGTTAAGTGAATCTGGTTTTCCCATTGACTTTGCTTATCAGGTCACAAAAGTTGATCACATGACACTGCAACCTGGTACACCGTCATAAATGTGTCAGATCACATGATCATGGAGATGCTGCAATGGTTGTAAGTGTGAAAAACGGTGAAAGTCACTTTTTCAATGCCACTATAACTTTGCACAATCACTAAATGAATGGTTGTAAGTAGAGGACTACTTGTATTTTAAAGACAATCTATGTAGAGGCAGATACTATTAAAATTAACTTCTGGGCCATTGTTCAAAAATATGTCCAATGTTAAAATGTTTTGCTTCATTCTGTAATTGTAAATTTGATTGTCCTCCTTTAATTATACCGTAACTTAAATCCCTTCTAGTCTTATCTTACTATTTTTAAGAATTAAAAAGAAAACATTTTTCCACGTGGACTTCATAAAATCAAAATTTTTAATCACCTTTTGCTGTTTATTCTAAAAAAAAAAAACCCTTTCAAATCCTACATTGGTATTTAAAACTTCTTTCACTAAGAATTGAAGGAAACTCACTCAGTGCTATAACACTTGTCAATCCAAAGGTTCCTAAATGACTGAAAAGCAGTTAGTAAGCAACTTCTGAAACTGATTAGAAAAGGAAATATGTGAACTTAGTGCTGTTTCAAAGATACCAAACACAGCTTGAACAAAGTAAGTATTTCCTCATCTCCAGGAACTGTCAATTTGCCAGTGACCACCATCTTGCAGTCCCCTCTTGAGGAGCAACTGTCTGGAGCACTTCATTCTGCCATGGTGTTTGGTTGTGTTTGTCATGGAGCTGATTTGCGTCCACCATTTCTTCAGAAGAACAATTTTGTAGCATATTTTTTATCAGAAAATACTCTTAATTTCCATTATAATAGTTTGGAATAATCTTCAAGCATTTGCTTTTAACTTTTTCCTAATTCTTTTTTTTTTTAAAGTTTACTCAAGTCAAAGTCTAACCATGTTAGACTTTTTTGGTAGATGTCCAACTATTTCCATATCAAAGATTACTCTTCTTTTACTGCTGAATTATTCCTTATTATAAAAAATTTCAAGGGAATATTAGTTTTCTTAAGCTAGAATTCTCCATCATAATTTCAAGAATTTCACAATATTGTAATTACAAATAATAGATAAGAAGATTGAAAAGAATTGGAGAGATAAGCCAAGCTTCCTAATGCCTACCATATACAAGTGAGTACAATTTGAATTATTCTAGGTTAATAATGTTTTCCAAATATTTTAAGAAAATAAAAATGAAATGCTCAGGAATATATTTTATTTGAACAATTACAAAGGATGACAAATAGCAACTTCTTCTTTAAATTCAACACCTAGTGATATTGTTATGCAAAATGAGAAAGCGGAGAAACACAGACTATTGGAATTTTTAAAAATTAAAATAACATTTTTTCCTTAATGTAAAGCCAAATAATATTAATTCAAAGCCATCAAAAACATTCCAAGGTCTGTATGAGCATACATTCTAGTAATCATGCCTCTCTACCTACCTGGCAATTTAGAATGGACAGCCACCAAAAAGCAACATCTGAAAGAGCAAAACCCATATTCTAATTGTTTGCCATAAAGATATATATTCTGCAATACATTAAATGCAATCTTTTGGTATGATTTCTAAAAATAATGTATTTTCATATGTATCCTTTCACCCAGACCCACATATTTTGTTTTCAAATGTTTAAGGAGTTCTGGATCTATTTACTATTCTCTAGAAAACTCTTCATCAGCATTCACAATTGTTATAAATCATGTTGGGTATATCCAGTACACTTTTTCTAGTATTAGGTATATTGATTCAGCATTCCTGCTGCTGCAAACTAGAAACAAACAGTAGCAGATTCATGCAAATGCAAAAACTGAGGTGAATTAGTAATGTAGTAGTAAAACTTTTCCTTCTCTTTCTAATCTCCTCTGTTAAATGATTCCCACAGAGGAAAGTGATGCTGGACACGTAAAAATTATAGCTAAAATTAATTCTCTAAATATGTGTCCGGGATAGTAAGCCCTTGCCTGACTAAGGAAAAAGCAACATAAACACTTTTATTAAAAGATTCAAGAATTAATATGCTATCATAATCTGGATTAGAATTAATTTTGCTACTTTTTTTAGTTAGACTTTATGCTGTAAATGACAGACTAATCAACTAATGATTTTTTTTCTAGCAGGAATATTTTATATTGGGGGGGGGAATGGGAAATAACCATATTTTTCAGCTCAGCAGCAGTGAACCATAAACACCCTCTGGAAAAATAGTATTATGAGCCTAACTGGTTGCAGGATACTACAGCCAACCAAAGTATTAAAATGGAAGAAGATATGTGTATGTGTGGAAGGGGAGGATCAATCAGGTACTGATTCCTTCCTCGTAATCTAAGGTCTTACCCTTGCATATTAATTTTTAGTATTTAGTGTTTAGCATTTTATCAGCACAAAGATTGCTTCATTTTTATCAATACTCAAAATAGTTCAGAACAAGCTGCAAAAATCAGCCTATTTTAACTTCAGCCTTGCATACAATCCCAAAATTTATCAGCCAAAACTACAATGGCTGGCTAGTTTCTGGGAGCTGTAGTCCCAGCTCAGTTGAATGGCTTCAAAGAGAAATGATTCCAGAAACCAGCCCGAGAAAGTAACTCAGAAACAGATACAGCTGCCTATAAATAAACTTAATCCATGAATGTACACTGTACAACACAAGATTAGGTCCCTTTTTTTGGTAGTTAGGAATATACACCAGCTGGAGCCTTACAGAAGGAAAACAAATCAGATCATCATGCAATTGTAGTGTGCTTGGAATTTTGACAACCAGAGCCATGCTAACACTACTCACGGTAGTAACAACAAAAGTCACCTAGGCTGCATCCTATCAATTCTAATTTTAGCTTAGAACATGCATCTAATGTTAAAGCAGCTATAATGATAATACTGAAATATAAGTAATATTATAAATATTGAGAGTAATCTTAGCTTCATTGCACAGTAAGAAAATTCCAAATATATTCATATATACTGTACTATGAAAGAAAGGTCACTAACATCTCTGATTGTGTCTTTATCATTATTGTTGGTTTGTTTTCCCCTTCTACCTTGCTGGCAAAACATGTATCTAAACCAGGGGTCCCCAACCCCTGGTCCGCGGACCAGTACCGGGCCACAGCATGCTAGCAACCAGTCTGCAGAAACAAGCAAAGCCCCATCTGCAAGATGCAGGCAGCACACAAAACCTCTCTCCATGGAACCAAAGGTGTCAAAAGGTTGGGGACCTCTGATCTAAACTATTGTCTCAAGAGCAGTTTTCTTTACTGCCACCTATTAAATCAATTCAGTGGTGTCATCTTAACAGCAAAAAGGCCTTCATGTAAAGGCCTTCATGTAAATCTCGGATTATTTCCCCCTCAGCTCTTTCATAAACTGTTGTTACCAGAATACCAAGCTTGGGACATAGTGGGATTGATCTTCAATTATGGAAAAGGGATAATAATTTAAATTATAATTAGTGGAATATAGTAATTAAAATGTTGAGTGGGATGAGGAAATTGACCCAGGGAAGCTCACTGGGTGACTTCCAGGCAATCATTATTTTTCTCTCTGTTTCTCCCCTGGGTAAAAATTGGAAGCAGAGCTATGTGTCCCACCAGGGGCTCCTGGATGAAAGACTGGATATAACCCTTAATAAATTAAGTATCACAGATCACTGCAGCTGAAAACCAATGTATTTTTCCAAGCAGAGCTAATAAACATTTCACAAATCATTTCACTAGATTTTTCATAATATTTATAGATGACCCCCTGTAGCCTCCACCAAAGTGATTCCAATGGTTCATGTAGTGAAATAGTTGATAAAGCTTGAGCCGTTTATCAAAACCTGGTGCTTTGGGGATTTTACCATGGTAAGCAGAATAAAATGAACCACTGAAGCCACCAAACATCCCAGCAATTGCCAACTCATACTCAGAGTGACCATAGAAAGAGGCAGGATCAAAGATAATAGGGCCAGAATCATCTTCAGCTACATTTCCTCCCCACAGATCCCCATGTAAGAGAGCAGGAATTATTTTCAGATCACCAAACAAACTGGGTATCTTCACCTAGACAAGAAAGAGAAACAAATAATAAGCTTGGATGGAGAAATCATCTATTATCTTAGTAGTCATTTAACTATACAGTATTTTTAAGCAGGGGGGGGCCTCTAGGCACACTAATTGCAGTATTCCTAGTTGTACCATTAAAAGGGCACATTAGTTTTACTGATTTTATTGGGAGGTTTTTTACTAGAAAAAACAATGGATATAGTATTAAGAACAGATAAATGATAGTTTAAAATCAAAAGTGAAATGCCCTTAAAACCTAGTAAATAAGATAAGAGAATTGCACACCAAAGTCCCACTCCAGAACCACTAAGTATACAATAGATTAGGATTGCATTCACATAGCATGCTATGATCTTTTAACCAGAGTTTATTAAATTTCGGTCAGCTAGGTTCACACAATCATGATTTGCAACCCAGACTACGTACGTTCACAAACATGCTAAGCTCCAAACAAGCAACCTGAGTTTCTGACTTTACATGTGGGTAACTCTTGTCTGTAAGTCACTTAAAATGGCAGAAGGACTTGAGCATTTAAATTTAATATTTATAAAAGACTTTTTAACATTGAAGACATAGCAAAAACACAGCAGGATCGAACACTTTTTCTTATTTATATAATATGAATGCAGTAGCAGCTGTTCACTGGTTTACTACAAATTTTTGCTATATATGTTATGTACGTAGGTGCGTAGATACTACACAGACATATGATTTTAAACTGAAATAAATATATATGTATTATTTGTCCACTGGCTATAATAAAAAAACAGTATTACTAAACTTGAAAAAAGACAGAATTTCAAGCATATAAATGGAATATGGTAATTAATGGAGTAAGCAAGCAATAAGCAAGTACCCTTATAAAACATTTTCCTTTTGGGGTTAGCTATCATTCTATCAGTCTGACTACTTTGGTGCTCAAATTATTATTTATATTCTGCTAATGTAAAAGCAAAAAATAATCTCTGACTGGTCTTTCAAAAAATAAGAACACCCCACACACAAACCCCTTAGAAAACAGCATTATATGGATTCATAGAAAGTGAAAAAATATTAATTACAAACAAGGGCTACTAAGAAAGGAATATTAAGCTTCAAACCAAAATCTGCTTATCTCTAAATAATTCCACAGAAGTTGCTCTTAACTAGGTAGAATGTGTTATGAATGGGCTGCCCTGCAATAAACAGCTGTGTAAGAACCCACAAGTGAAATGTATAAGAAGTGGCATCTATACCAGTTTGACCCACTGAAATGGTTCATAATAGATTTGAGAGACTAAATCTTAAAAAGGAAATGGTTTTCATGTTTTACTTCTTATAATTTTTAAGAAAACTGATAGAAAGTATTACAAGGTAAAGGAACTCTCATTAACCAGCTTGTGTAGAGCAGGGCTTTTCAACCTTTTCAGAGATTGTACCACTTTTAGGATATGGAAATATTCAAGTACCACCAGTCGCCTAGCAGGTGGGCGTGGCTTGCTCGACGTCACTCACTGGACACAGCTGACTTGAGACAGCTGGGTTGGAACGGAACAAGTTACACTGGCTAACTCGATGTGGGGGCAACTCGGTGCCCCACAAACTCGCCTCCCCAAACTACTAGTAGCCAAGCGCATGTGCACGCATGCACACACACAAACACAAACACACACACACTGCATTCCAGGTTGGGGGACTTTTATCCATAGAGGAAGGAGAAAGCCTTCTCCCCAAGCCCAGGCATGATTGGCAATTTGCTAGCTCATATGTGGATACACGTCTCCAAGCTTGGAGTGTGTGTGTGTGTGTATGTGTAGCATGCTAAAAAGATTCTTTTCCCAATCTCAGACATTGTTGGTGTTTCCCTGTCCGATGCCCCTGCCCGGCAAAGCAGGAGGTGGAGGACATTTGCAGGAAGCAGTTTCCTCCGAGTCCAATTTCTGTCTTGACAGATCTCTGGAGAGCAAGCGGATGTGGCAGGGGAGCAGCACTACCAGGTCCTGCACAAGGGAGGTTGGCCCTTCTCAAAAAGGAATTCCCATTTCCAATCGCACGTGGTAAGGATGCTGGCTTGTTGGGGCAGCCTTCCCTCACACAGCTCCCCTGCCACCCTTTTCTCCAGAGATCTGGAGGGGAGACAGAGATCTGGAGGGCAAGGTGCAGCTTCCACATTGGCCACTTCTGCCTCTCCAAGCCCTCTTCAATTAATCATACATTATATAAAAATTAAAACACAGCCAAAAAGAAAACATAATTAAATCACTAATTACAGCTCTTCACATATTTTCTGGAAAAACCACCTTTATTGATATTAGGAAGAGCAAACCTTATTAAGGAACTCTTAACAAGAAAGGAATTGAAGACTCCAAAGGGTCTTGTTCTTTCTAATCTGCCTTCCCTTTGAGCCTTTAGTTCTCATTATTTTATTATTATGTATTTAAGAAGATCAAAGGCCTCCATAGCTCAGGATACTCACCTTAAAATTAGAACCCAGAAAAATTTAGTTAATCCACAATATGAAAAATAAAGATAATGGCGGCGGGTGAGAGCACCAGGGGAGCACCGTTTTGCAGAACAAAGCGGGCAGAGGTACTTGCAAGTCCCACCCCAGCTATGGCGAGGAGCAGTGACTGCATCTATGCCCATGGGGCAAGGAGAAGGAAACGGAGGGGCGCGGTGGCTGGGCTGCCTTCTGGCCCGCTGGATTTGCGGTTTTCCTTTGATTGGGGGCTGGGATGGGGCAGCCCCTTGCTGTCTCCAGGGCGGCCCCAGGCCAAATGTAAACATCTTGCGGGCATGTCTATCCCCTCCCTGTCATCCTCTTGTCTTCGATGTAGCTGCAACTGACTCCTTTCCCCAGGCTGGGCGCAGCTTCTGGAAGCGCCAGTCAGCTGGAGCCCGGTGCAGATCCTGGGTGCTCAGCAGAGCCCTGGCAACACCACGGCTGCAGCTGGATCTCCCACAGGCCTGTGCTGCATTGCCGCTGCTTCAGCTCATCCCCATGCTACACTTTTACAGTTTTCTTTACACTTTTTCAACCCGTCGTAAGTGTACCACCTGCCAGGTGCCAACATACTACCAATGGAACGTGTAACACCGGTTGAAAAGCTCTGGTGTAGAGGACTCACCGTTTCATACCACTAAAGCAGTATAGAAACTGTATTGCTCTGAAAATATATGAAGATGCCACTTCGAAATTCCACAGAGATCACTACCTGGAGTTGAGCCCAAAGCTCTCTTGCTTCTCTGTCTCCTGAATTCTTCTCAATCAAATCCATCTGGGGCTGAATTCGTTGCCTAGTAAAGAAATTTACCCAGTCTTGTTGCCAGTCATTAACCTGCAAATAAAATTTTTTGTTGGTATCCTTGCTATGTTTGTCTATCAAACGAACATAATCATTTCCATTACATTCTCTGTTTTAGTCACATTTTTGCAGCATCTGCACATTTGTAGCGTTTATAATACTAATCAATGAACATGAATCTATCTCTCCAAGTACATTTTTGGGAATAAATTCCAAGAAGAAATCAGATAGAATATTTTGTTCATTTCTTCTCCTATATACCATCCCAGTAATTCCTAATATTTTAAATAATCATTTCCTAAGATTTTGGATTGTTGCCATTGAGCTGCATTGGTAAAGTAACATCCTAAATAACATCTAAAGCTTGGCTAATAGAGAACATTCTTGCACAGTAGCATCACATTTAAATCACATTTTGAACTCTACTGCATGAATTAGCTATTACTACTGTCATCCCCTTAATTGCAAAGTACATCTATTTTTCAGGGAAGCAGCAGCAATGACATCTGCCATTCTGTTACCACAAAAGGGGGATCAGGCAATATATTGATGATACTAATATTGTATTGGACTCTTTATACCAAATCGTACTTCCCTAAGTTATCTCTTAAATTATTCATTCACACACAAAATATGCACTGCTTCAAACTAAGTAGGGCACAGTAGCATACCTGTCAGTGCATCTTTCAAAAAAAAAATCTACACTTCTTTTCTGTGCTCACAAAGCAGCCAATCATGTGGAGAGACCAACAGGATGTGAAAAAGTACTTTGGAGCAAGTGTGGATAAATGTCAGCACTCAAACACATTTTCCTAGGATCACAGACCTTACCATGTGCACCCAAGAAAAGATAGTTTCTTTAAGGTTTCACTTACAGCAGGCATGTCAAACTTCCGGCCCACGGGCCAGATGCATCACACCGAAACTGCACCCACCCCATTGCCGACAATGGGGAAAAAGTCACGATACGTCGCACAACATCATATGATGTCATGAGTCTGACATGCCTGACTTACAGGTAGGCTGTGTGCACCCATACCATTCAGAAGCACCTTTTTTTTTTTGTTTGGAATTAAAAGTCCTGCACATCCCTAAAATGTGCATATATTAGTTCTATGCAGCACTTTAAATAGGTGTTCCAGTATAGGTGAGGGTGTGAACAGTGCACCTCTCTGCAACTCTTTGAACAAATATTCCCTTTTCAGGTTTATGCAGCAGCTGCAGAAGTAGTCACACCATCCTTGGAAAAGGCAGGGCTGCTTTAAGGGTTTGCAAACAAGTATGTGTGTCTGAAGAGTAACAAAACAAGATTTTGCAAAGCAAAAGAAGACAATCAAGCCTACCTGTGGAAGGTAACCACAACAAGTGACAGAATGAAACCCAAACTCTTCCACAAACTGAATATCCGTCTGATTTTTACTTTTACCTTGAATGGAAAAAAGATATAGTTTACTACTACAACAGATAAATACTCTAAACACTAGGTTATTTTGCTCTTCTCAATGAATCTAATTCTTCTAAATAGATGCAAAAATAACTGAGATTATGTATGTATCTAGGTGAGTTCAGGCTACATATTTTCATATTTCAGGAATTATATAAATATTGCTCTTCAATTTCCCTCATTCATTTTAACAATGAAATAAGTTATCATTACTGAGGAATAATGAACATTTAAAAGATGGTTCTTATGAAAATCATATTGACAAAGAACATCCTTGTTGCTATTGACCATCTTTCTATTCAAAAAAGAAATTTTCTAGGGCTCTACAACCAGGTTTTGTAGTAGATAAAGCAAAGCTGTTACAAGCATTCACAATTCAACCTACAATACATTTCTGGGATTTAGAAATTCTCAAACAGCTAAACCATTTACCAATAGTGTTTGCATCTTTCTTCAACTTTTCCCCAAGCTTTTGATTATGAAGATGAAGATCACCCAGCTGAATCCCAAGTTTTTCTGCCTGTCTAAAAAGTGAGAACAAATTATTCTTATCAGCTAGTGCCAAATTAACAGCCTGAACAAGAATTTGGTTTTTGTTCAAATGACAATGGGTATTGTTAATATCCTGGTACTTGCTGGATCTTCCACTGAGGATGTATATCTTAATCTGACTGTAGTGTTACTTCAAACTTTGGTTATAGTACTGTTAGTAGTTTTCAATATTTTTAATAAAATGTTATATATTTTCATAATAACAGGGCACTCAAAAGTAATTCATTATTTTATTAATTTACTACTACTACTATTTTCTCTACTATATAAAAGCTTTTAAAATGCTAGCATAACTTGGGTACAGACCATCCTATATATTCTGGTTTCTTAATATTGCTGTCTTCACAAACTTGAATGGATCAACTGTAGCGGTCAGTGATTCAGGCCTGCTGGACTTCCTGGCAGTGAACTGCCAAAGCTTAGGCCTTAGGCTACATGACTTCATAGCCACACCTCCCTGCCCCTTATTTATTCTTTATCCAAGTATGAAAACCTCATGAGAATCTAGAATATGTCCAATATTTGCTTACTTTTCAGTTAACTATTGAACTGAGAGTGCATACAGTACGCCCATGTTTAACTTAGGCTTGGTTTAATCAATTAACCCAATTTTCTTTGTTCCCACAATGAACTGTAAATTTACCATAAGAGATAGATCTGTCTCAAGGTAAACTAAATTGTAGCAGCCTAATCTGTGACTCATGGAATCATACAAGCACAGCCTAAAGCTGGTTTAGGTCCTTTTTATTTTTAAAATATCATACATTTTGTCCTCATAACTTTACCTATTGAGACTTCTCATGTCCAAGTGCTCCATCACAAATAAAGCACCACCTTCTGACAAATCAATAACTTTGATAGGTTTAGGAACTTTCACAGTCTGTGTTTGCAGAATAGCAGCTAAACTTGCCATTTCTCCATCAAACATTCTTCTGGCCTATTGAATATAATAAGAAAAAACTATTAAAATATTTCTCCTGTATTGAATAGTAGCCCTTTCCAATGATCTACATTTTAAAAAATAATACAGTAACTTCCTCACAAATTATTTATTTTATTCAGAATAAATATAAATGTCATATTGTACAGTTCACATTTCTTTATGACCCTCCAAATTACACTAAAGAGATGAACTAAGTTTTAAAACTGAATGTATATTTATTAAATGGAACATTTCTGTATAACACAGAAGAAGACAACTTTGTGGAAACATAACCACTCAAAATAGGTAGTTTCTAACAAACGAAGAATATTCCACCATTCTTATTTATGAATCGTTATAACATACCAGGTTTTAAAACAACAGCTCTATCTGTTTTATACAAGTAAGTTTAGTTACCATAGTACAATATTATATTCTTGTTCAGTGTGTGAGACTTCAGGTTTTGGACATACTCTCCTTCACATCTTCAAAGCTGAAATTTCTCATAATGTTATTTCATTCACGCAACCAGACCTTCTATTTTTTGCTATATTATTTCATTTTACATGCTAAGCCACAAGTATAGGAACTTCATTAAATTATTCCCCAATGAATCTCATTTATTAAAATTTATTAAAATCTTGATCAGATTTTAATCAATAGATGATACACAGTAGGGAAACCTACTGTATTCTCAATTCTTCAAGCTTACCATACAAGAATGTGTTCTGCTCACATTCTATTCATTTCTCTATAAGCCAAAAGAAATATTATTTTAAATTTAAGAAGATCCTTTACAAAAGCAAGAGTGGACAGAATAAAATAAACAAAATCATGTGTAAATGCCTTGGAAATTTTGGGAGGGCAACTTCAACAAAAATACAGCTGGTGATTTCTCCCCATCTTATTAATGTGTACAAGAATCATACTTGTATATCTGTTTGTGTATGTGCATGTGTATGTGTGTGCATGCATATGTAAATACATCATGTCTAATGCTAGAAAGAACTAATTTGGAATATGATTAAGGCACCAAGCTAGAAACCAGGAGATTGTGATTTCTAGTCCTGCCTTAGACACAAAGCCAACTAAGTGACCTCAGGAAGAAGACAATGGCAAAGCACTTCTGAAAAACCTTGCCTGACTAGAGAGTATAGTCAACAAAAGTCAAAGAACTGACTCAAAGGTTTGTATAAATAGATGCCAGAAGTTACACTCAAAAAATAAGGAAAAAATAAGTCATTTACAGGAATGGAATTAACTACTCATTCAAATTAATTGCTTATAAAAAGAATTCTATTTATAAAATTAACTGATTTCCTTTGCACATGCAAACCACTTACACACAGATACATGCAAGCTACATACACATATTCCACTCTTCCTTTCCAGCAAAAAATAAAAAAATAAAATAAAAACCAGGATGGAGATGGGTTAGGAAACACAGCAGCTCCCCTGGGAAGACAGAGAAAAAGGAACCACAGAAATAACAGAATGAAACAAACGGAAGCCTATGTAAGTACAAAAAGGACTGAGTTCATCAGGCAAGAAATCCGACAGGCAGCAACTAAATCTTTAGACTGATCTACTAGTTCAAATGACCCAGGTCCTCTGTAGATCTGCAAACTACAAGTCCAGAAACATGCTACTGTAATCCATCCCTGACTTAACACATATAATTGAAATTCAAAGGTCTCAACTTTTGCATTTCTGCAGGCTGTGCAGCTGGGAAATCTTCAGCGGATACTATTCCCAGGAAGTACTGTCCCAGGAAGTACTGTCTCCTCGCTTCCTGTATTCATGTAATGTTCTTTGATGTGTTTACAGTACAAAGTCCTACTCTTCAACAGCACTTAAACTAGGGCTGCATCTAAGCTGCACAAATCTGAATAACTAATAGATGGTGGCCAGGAGTCCCACAAATCCTGACTCAAAAACATCTGTCTCTGAGCCATGGGTTACATGCAGTGGACAGACCCCATGGCCATATAAGCTACTAAGGTGGCCTTAAATCTAATAATATATTTTTTTTAAATCTTCATTGCCGAGTTGAAATGCTATCTATCCACCGTAAGCTGGCAAAATAGTATACCAGAATAAGTCTTCTGTTGCTTCTTTTTCCAGTAATATATTTTGGAAGAGATGATATCTGAATAGGGTAGAAAACACTAACATACTATTAGAATCTCCATAGACTAATACTAACATAACTAAGTAACGACTTAAGCCTGCGTTTTTAATGACTGGGAACTAGACAAAGGTAACCCTCAAAGAGATACAGCAGAAAGATATAACCAGTACATGTTTATGTGAGTTAGGTGTAGTCGACTTATAAGAGTTCATTTAGTGACCGTTCCAAGTTACAACGGCACTGACAAAAGTGACTTATGACCATTTTTCACACAACCATTGCAACATCCCCTTGGTCAGGTCATGAAAATTCAGACTTTTGGCAACTGACTCATATTTATGACAGTTTCAGTGTCCAGAGATCAGATGATGACCTTTTGCAACCTTCTGATGAGCAAAGCCAATGGGGAAGCCAAATTCAGTCACTAACTTAATTAACTGGAGTGATTCATTTAACAGCTGTGGCAAGAAAGGTCGTAAAATGGGGTAAAACTCACTTAACAAATGTTTCACTTAGCCACAGAAATGTTGGACTCAATTGTGGTCATAAGTGTACATGTATAGGATTATCATGGCTTATTCTATTAATCCAGTTTCAACACAAAAAAACTAGGGCCCGGGAACATCTGCGGACCAAACAAAAAATTCAGCCTATCAATACCTCCCCCCAAAACTTTTTTTTTTTTTTTCAGGGCAACCCGGGTCTCCCAACCTGCCTCCTCAGAGGAATGCCTCTCTGTGGTGCTCTTCCCATGGCTTAAGCTTTCAAAAGCCTCACAAATCCCCTCGCGTTCTCCCCGTTACGAGGAAAAGCCTCGCTTGGTGAAGGAGCCTTAGTAGAAAACCTCAGTCCACCAATTAACCACCCGGACTAGGCGCTCCTGTTCCAGCCTAGGATTCCCGCTTTACCCAGTCTGTGTCCTCCCACCTCGGCCTTGTCGTTGCGCTTCACGTAGACCTTCCCGTGGTCAGTGTGGAAACTCTCGCCGTGGCTGATGCAGCCTCCCCCCGAGTATCCCGCAGGCCGAAGCTCCGAGGTGCCAAGTTCTCGCCGCAAAGCCGCCTCCATCGCAGGAGGTCTTGGAAAAGCGGGCCACGCACCGACCCCGCGCCTCTCTGCAGATCCCGAGCCACCCGCCCCGCCAACTTAAGCACAATGGCGATGCCGAGCGCCCGGAAGACGAACACCGGGCTCGGGGAAAAGGCAGCGCCTCCGAAGGATCCAGCGGCTGCCTACATCGCTGCAAAGAAAGGAAAGCTGGTCCTGAAGCGTTGCTCCTTATCTGAATTCGCACTAGGAACCCAGCTTATATAATTATAATTCGGAAGAAGCTAGGATCTTGAAGTAAACCAAGAAACCACATTGGTGAGCATCTTTTAGGACTAAGTGGTAGCACACACACATAATGCTAACTCATGGTTGTTGATTAATATTTCTTTGATTTTCACACTGCATGTGAATCAAGTCTGGACCAAAGCAAAGCAAGCTTCACTCGGACTTTTTAATGTATTGTGTGAACCAAGTCAGTTTCCCCTTGTAATTTGGGGTATCCCAGCACCCCCTTCTGTGTTAAAAACAGATTTAAATTTTGGTTTTGCCCTAGTAGTCTACATTATTTAAATGATTTACATCAGTGTTTCTTAAATGTAGTCTTTGGACCCCTAAGGGTCCTCCAAGTATCTCTTAGGGTCTGCAATATCAAGATTATTTGCCAGCCTATGCTGAAAAATACAGTATTAAAATCTCATCAAACAATCATGAGAAGTAGTAAAGGCAGCAAATGTATTGATTTTAATTCTGAATATAGTCAATATCAATAAATATAACCCATATAAACAAACGTTTTTTTGGGATCAACCATAATTTTAAAAAGTAAGAAACGGTCCTGAGAGAAAAAAACCTTAAGAAACACCGGTTTATAACAAAGCTACCTTTCTATACATTTGTTGCAAAAAATTAAATGCAGAAGGACCTTTGGATTTCTTTTAAATCACTGAAAACATACATGCAAGCAACTTAATGCATTTAAGAATTGTTTTAAATGCTAAACTTGTGTATTGACAATACTGCTTTCCAAAACAATAACAACCCTTAGTGTTCAATGTGCAGAATAAATACTGTAAATCATTTTCTAAAGGCTTTTACCCTAAAAAAATCTTTTTCATGTCCTCTAGCTGTACATTTCCTTCTCTCAATGGATAAAAGTCCATCAGATCTATATAGGCTCCAGCCTCCAACTGTATTTAGACTTCCTACTCTATAGGTTTTTCTATACAGAACACCAAAGAAACCAAAACACAGTAACTTACAGTAACATGATGTGTATCCAGCTATGTTTGTTCAGTGAGTCATGCTCAATCCAACCATGACTTACTATGTGAATATAGAGCAAATTTTTACAAAAAAATAATATTTTTAAAAATATCTTACTGAAAAGGACAAAGAAACTTGAATTTGTAACAGTTCATTGACTATGATTGAATGACATTTTTCCATGGTTAACCCAATTTGCATGACACACCTAACCACAAAATAACACACAGGCTATGTTTATACAACATACCAGTGCAAATTGTTCTTGAGTAGTCTGTGGTTCACGTTATGCTGAGAACACAACTAGTGCAATGATGATAACAGGCTTTATACCATCTCAGCAATGGCTGAGAGATGTAGTGGCCAATATGAAATTGGATGTTCACATTGAAAATCCAGTCATGTCTCTGTTTCCTTTCTCTTGTCATTGAAGTCACCTACCTTCCTTCTTATTTAAAAAAGGTATAACAGGTTTTGTACAATATTGGAATAAGAAGAGGAAATAACTCCTCTAGCACTAATATAGCTAAGGACAATTTAAGTTTGTTTCTCTCATAGTCTTGGACCAAGAGTAAAACAGTGTAGAAAGCCAATCTGCCAGGGTAAGGCTAGGTGCAAGTAAAGAAAGGCCCTTTATGTGCTTATAACATTATATACTGGCAATATCTTTGTAGTGTTGGTAATTGTCCAGAAGACATTGTCATGTGAAAATTAGTAAATGAACATAAATATGTCATTTAAGATTTAAAAAATCATTGGAAATCAACCTAAATGACATCATTGACAAGAGGAAATGCTAATTCTGGATAATTGGAAGCCAACTATCAACAACTCAGGCACAAGCAGTGAATGGCCATTATATTGGCATACGTCTAAGTTAAGTAATTATGTCTTGTAAATAATGACTTTAAGCAAGAAGTTATGGTATTGAATCATATATAGCAATAGCACTTAGACTTATATACCGCTTCATAGTGCTTTACAGCCCTGTCTAAACAGTTTACAGAGTCAGCATATTGCCCCCAACAATCTGGGTCCTCATTTTACCAACCCTTGAGCCATTCAGAATTGAACTCCTATAGTGAGCAGTGAGTTAGCCTGCAGTACTGCATTATAACCATTGTGCCACCAGGGCTCTATAATGTTTAATATGCAGGAACTTAATAGCAACTGCACATGACCCAAAACAGTCCACAAAGTATCAGGTAATACAAACCACAATTCTCAGATTAGAGAATATAATAAGGAATAAGCATACCTGTGTGCTTTTATCTACCATTTACTGTATCTACATAATTCATGAAAAAAATAACTCAATATATTGAACTTCAGACTAATATTTGGAATATATTCCTACACTGCTTTCTCTTTTCCTAATAAGGATGCCTTTCTAGTGCACAGTAATGTTCCAAAGATATCCTAATTGGTCAACCTGCTGTTTAATTAGAGTTTATTTCTGTAGAACAGCTGATTTCCTAGGCTGAAATTATTTGTGAGTCACTAGTTAATATATACATACCAGCTTTAAAAAAAGACAGCAGCTGAGAATTGAAGAAAAGCTAATTGGTATCTGCTGGCTTTAATTTGCTGGTTTTAGATGATTAAACAGAAAAATATCTCTTAAGATGCCTATTGGTATATGTTTATTCACAAATATTTTAGTATTTTCTTTGGTGTTTCTGTATCAAGTTGAAGGCTAGCTCGGGAGTACTTTTTGAAATATTATTTTTCTTCCATTTCTAATGGAAGTTTGTTCAAAAATAGTTTTCATTGTATTGTTCCACTGTATAAAAACTTATTTTTATCATGTTAACAATCACAATTGAGCCCAAAATTTTCTTTGCTAAGCAAGACAAGTGAGTTTTGCCCTATTTTACTTTCTTGCCAAAGTTGTTGTGAATCATTGCAGTTGTTAAGGGAATCTGGCTTCTCATTGACTTTGCTTGTCAGAAGCACAAAAAAGGTGATCGCATGACCCCAGGACACTGCAGTTGTCATAAATACATGTGAGTTGCCAATTTTGATCACATGACGATGGATGCTGCAATGAACATAAGCGGACAGTTACTAAATGAATGATTGTATGTCGAGTGGTCAGTTAAAATAATTCTGCTAATTTATATAAGTGAACTTTGTCATAAGTCCAAAATTCAAAATGGTTATAGCTGCAGTCTCTGTCTTCTGGTCTGATGTTTCATCTGGAAATTTTAATGCTATATCCAGGAGCACCTTTCCCTTTTGATCTGTTACCGTATCTATGGACATTACTGTTCACCCTGTATATATATATATAGCATAGATTTTGTGACATCTTTTATTGTTTCTCCTTGCTTCTTATCTTCATTCAATTATAGTACATCTAGCTGCTGCTTTACTGTACTGAAAGTACTTCTGTCCTGTACCAGTTCTGGCTGCAGTACTGGATGTTGGATTGTTACCTTGTGTTACTGAAATCTTCTCTTTGACCCTCATATAATGCCCTGACTCATCATTACAGTTGCTTTTATATCAGCCTAGTAGTCTATGGAGATTCTCAGTCATCCAGGTCATGATTGTCCCAAAGATGCTTTTTCCAAAGGCAACTGGACTTTTTTTTTTCCTTGAAGACACTTCGCTTCTCATCCAAGAAGCTTCTTCAGTTCTGAACTGAATTTCTTCAGAACTGAAGAAGCTTCTTGGATGAGAAGTGAAAACGTCAAGGAAAAACCAAGAAAGTCCAATTGCCTTTGGAAAAAGCACCTTTGAGATATCAGCCTAGTTAGTATATTAATCCAAGCAATGAAATACCATCTATCATTCCCTGCTTTATTTTATGAAGAGCTTCCCTACTGCATACAATTCATTTTTAAAATCTATGTGTAAAGTAGCATACTGGAGAAAAACGTATTCAATGTATTATGGTATTGAAATATTTAAAAGAGTCATACTATGTAATTGTCCAGTTCAGTCCAAGGTCAAGAAGCTAATCAAAATGTGGTTTTCCTTGTTTCTGGCTTCATGAAGTGTGCAAACCTCGGCGGTTATGAAAACAAGACTTAACAGTTCACGTTTGCTAATCTTAAATCCCGATAGCATCGTACATTTTAATCTTGATTCATCGTACTCTTTATTATGCTGAATCCGGATGCAGGACAATCCTATTAACAGGACCTCGAAGTTCGAATCGGACAGAGCCACGAACCGCGTTCATATACCTTTTTTACAAAACACACGCCTAGTCCTCCGAAGTGTAAACCCACCCGTTCCGCATCTCTCCCCCTGTGACAGATAGACCTGCCAGCCAATCCTGAGTAAGAAGCACCCCAGCAACTGAACTGTGGGGCCTCGAGGGGTGGGTCCCCGCTCACCAATAACAAGAGAACTTGGAATTCTGAGGTCCCACTGTAACCAATAGCAGAACTGATGGGGGCGGCCACAAAATCGATGCTCCAATGGGAGCAAGGGGTGCAAATTAGTTGGGACAGTGTGACAGAGCTGCGCTCAGGTTGTAGCAACAACAACAGGCACAGCTCCTGCGACAGCAGACGGTTGAGCCAGCTGCTGTCTTCGGGAACCCGACGGCGCCCCGCGCAAAGGTTTCTGAATCTCCCTCGGTCGCGACTTGTCACAGCGCTGCTCGGTCGCTGTCATGAGAGATTTTTCCCGCTCTCTCCAATTTCGGTGCGTCTAGGAGCGCGGCGGGTTCTGGGCACGACTCCCGTCGGTTTCTGCTCGCTGCGGGCAGTTCGAGTCAGTCCTGCGCAGCCAGTTTGGGCGCGCTATCCTCGATGGCGCCGCTGGAAATTCTCCCTTCCTTGTCTCGGTCCCGAGGACGCCCGTCGATGTCCCCGTGAGAAGACGCCTCCGCCTCGTCTAATTCTTCTCCGTCGCCTTCTCTTATCCCAAGCTTGAGAGTCGTGGTATCGGCAGCCCATCGGGACTCCTCCGCAGGGTGGGCTCGAACATGCCTTTGCTCGCGTGCTGCTACTCCTCATCTTCCTCGGTCCTCGGTGGCACAACTGGTGGCTCGGTGCCCCTCGTGGGCGCGGGGAGCTGATTCTCCGCAGAGACGTGGAGGGGGGGGTTGAGAAGATGAACCACGTGGGCAGCCCTGTGAAAGCTTATGACTTCTTGCTAAAATTCCTCCTGGTGGGGGACAGTGACGTGGGCAAAGGAGAGATACTAGCTAGCCTAGAGGATGGAGCCACTGAATCTCCATATGGATACAACATGGGTAAGTGAAAACATGAATTGTACAGGTGTTCCACTGCCAGAGCCTGAATCTTGAGTGGGAACACCTTTTCTTTTACCTTTCTGCAACCCCACCCCAATCTACACCTGTAGATTACATAGGAAGGCAGTGCTTAGGTAGGACTATCTTGATACCTGAGTCACCCATAGCTAGCTTCCACACCTTGACAGTCAGCTTAAGACTTGCATGGTAAAAACCTTTCTTCCCAGTTGCCTTGATACCTTTGCTTTAGAAATAAAAATGCTAGCCCATCGATTTCTTGGTGGCTAATTATGCCAATTTACTTTTGTTAAATGGCATTCTTATTACAAAGGCTTCACACATTTCCCTGGTATTGCCATTATCAGGACCAATAAACTGATAGTACTAAAACTGAATTGTCTTTTCCTCCATCTTAAGCTTACTCTTTTCATGCTTTCTTTCCTCCCTGACTTGGCAACAGTTAAGGCAGTAGGGAACAATGTTTTTTTATAACACAGAAAATAATTTAAATTATTTGTAGAAACGTTTTTATCAAGGAGAAGCTCTGGAATTCAATGAAGAAAAAATAGAGACTGTCAAACCACAAAATCATGTAATTGAAATGCACTATTTTGGCCACTAAATTAAATCCAAATGAAAACATTTCTGTATAGTCTTTACTTGCATACATCCACTGAAAAAGAATGCATTGGCTTTCTGGGCAATTGGTTCCATTATTAAATTGTTTTTACTATCAAAAAGTTTTTCCCCAAAAATTCAGTTGTAATCTGCCATCCTATAACTTAAATCCATTATTCTGTGTTCTGTATTCTGAAAATACACTGAATAAGTCTTGATCTTCCTTAGTGAGATCTTTTTTCAGCATACACTGGTTTCTTTTGGATTATATAAATCTTTTGCTCCTTTTCCTTTTAGCTATTTGAAGATTGTTATCTACTTTGGTCTTGTTTTTTCAAAACTAACCAGTTCCAATTCCTTCAATCTCTCTTCCCATGATACAGTTTGTAATTGCCTGATCTTCCTTGTTGCCTTTCTGTAAACTTGTTCCATTTCATCTGCATCCTTCTTAAACTATGCTTAGGATGCCATACCTGACCAATTTATTTTAAATTGGAAGAATTGCTTCCTGGATTTGAAAACTGTACTTCAGCTGAAGCCATTTAAAATTGTATTTGCATTTTTTTGGTAGCCACATCATTCTGTTGGCTCATACTTTAGTTTAAAATCAACTACCAGTCCATGATCATTTTCACAAATACTGTAACCAAGCCCAGTAATTATTAATTAATTAAAATAAATTGGTATTTGCAGATCATTTTTAATTAAAACTTAAATTCTGCTCCTTTCATTGTGTTCTTTACAATTTCCCACATAACCTGTTTTTGGAGAATTTTGTGCCAAATTAATAGTTCAATAATTCTGCACTTTTTTTTGTACCTGGTGCATTCTGCTGCTTTCTCTGAGCAGGTGGTATCTATGTTTTTTCTTTATTTGAGGTTCTCCGAATAAGCCACTGTTGTTGTTCTTCCCATCCTTCATTAACCTCAGCTAATTCTGTGCTTTAGCTTCTTGACTTAAAATATGGTTCCAATATACCCTCCTGTACTTTTTCTTGGTGATTTGTTCTTTTTTCCACCGTTTGTTTCTTGTTTTATTTTCAGGCCTTCACCAAGCTTTTTTGTAACCCTCTTATCCTTTTCCATTGTCCTCCAATTTTTTTCTACTGCGATTGTAGTTGTACATTTTTAAAGAAAACCTATCTATCTTTTCATGCCGCAAAATCCTAGTTATTATTGGTTTGAGGGCTGCCCTTGAAGACACTCATAAGTTACAATTGTTCCAAAATGCAGCAGTGCTCCCAGTACTGGGCTCCCCTAAGTTCACCCATGTCATGCCTTTATTGTGCAAGCTACACTGGCTGTTTTCTTCCAGGTGAAATTCAGAATACTGGTTGTCGCTTTTAAAGCCTTACATGGCACAGGACCTGGTTATTAGCAGGACTGCCTCTCCTTAAGAATATCTGCCAATCCCAGATCAGATAGGGTGGGAACACTCCAGGTCCCCTCTTTGAAATCTTGCCACTTAATTGTACTTTCAAGGTACCGGTATGTATTTCTGTGGCTCCCCATATCTTGTGGAATACCCTTCTGCCAGGATATAGGACTTCTAGCCTTTCTGCAGGCCATTAAGACCTGCTTTTTACTGAGATGTTCAGATTATTTATTTATTTATTTATGAGACTTATATACCACTTTAAATGCAAGCACTCTCTAAGTGGTGTACACCAGTAAGCAATGTGTGTGTGTGTGTGTGTGTGTGTGTGTGTGTGTGTGTGTGTATTTACATTGCCCCCAACAATCTGGGTCCTCATTTTACCTACCCCGGAAGGATGGAAGGCTGAGTCAACCTTGAGCCGGTGAGATTTGAACTGCTGACCTGCTGAACACAGTCAGCTAAAGTGGCCTGCAGTACTGCACTCTAACTGCTGCGCCACCATTATATAGGTAGAAAGTATGGAAGGAGGACAGCTAAGCATGCTGTAGAGCATCCCAAGGGGGGCAATTACAGCACAAGGTTTTTGTTTCATTTTTTCACTGCTTTTATTGTTTTATCATTTGGTTTTACTTTGTGAGTTACCCAGTTGCTCAAGATGGGTGGTCATATAAATCTTCTAAATAGATGAATAAATAAATCAGAATCCAGTTTTTGTTTTTTTTAAAGTCTAGCTACATGTTTGCTCAACTTTGGTTTCCTTTAAAATTGGTAATTCCAGTACCATGTTGTCATTTTCCCCCAACTTTTCCTCGAATTATTTAAAGGCTTTTCTAACTTTTTTCAATTTAAAGTGCTTTCCAACCATCCTTGAATTGGCAGAAAATTAGAAAAATATGAAAATTGCTGCCCCCACAGCCTATCTCTATCGCCTGACTCACTGGAAAATGTTGCCATCTTTATTGTGTATGCCGTGTCGCATAAGCAAAGCAATTGAATTCTCTGATTTTAGTGTTCTCCCTCTTCTGCACGTAACCAGCTAGGAAGAAAAGCATTCCCTAATCACGGCACTACGGCAGAGCTGGACAAGGTGTGATTGCTGGATTCTGTCTGCTCATCTCTAGATTCCATCCTCTTGTCTTAATCTCCATTCTGTTGTAATCCCAGCTGAATAAATTATAAACTGGTTGAATTTCAGGGAAATGAGTCCCATGCAATATTTCTCTCGTCTTTCTTTCTTTGTATGGGCAACAAAAGCCATTTCCAAGTTCCTCTGTATTCTAGCCAGGAAATAACAGGGGGATGGGCCCATCTTCATTATTCTAGTTCAGTGTTGCACTAACCTGGTGAAGCTGTAGAATCATTTACAGAACTGTTGGGTGGTTTGCTGTTAGAACAGTTTTGATAGCCTCTGGCACAAAACTGCTATGCTTAGCACTTTAGAAAGACAAGAGCAAAACGACAGTAGATCAGGCTAACCAGGGCTTGAAGAAAAGGTGACATACTCGCATCAGCCTGAAATGGCCAGTAAGCACCATTATTGGCCATGTGACTTTGCCTTGAGTGTTATGAGTGGAGAAGCTTAACAGATATTACACACCTTGCGGCTGTTACAAGATGCTGTCAATTCCAGAGGCAAACATTGCTTTTTAACCACTGTATAGCTAAGGATAACTTGTGCCTGTCTCATTCATGGGCTGAAGTGACAGTAGTGTCGTTTAGGTCAGAGCAGAAAAAGACATCACAGTGCATTTTTGTACCATGGCTAGCAACAAATAAAGACACTGTGTAAGTCTTCCCAGTTTATTAAAAAAAATGTCAGCAAGACAAATTAGGAATTTCCTAGAAGATCCATGCTTTGCAGAGTTTACCTATGTTAATCTAAGTATATATTATAGTTTTCTTTGCCAGGAAATCGAGTTTATTTCCCCTATGCTTATCAGTGTGTTTAGACAATAAAGCCAATGAAGCCAATATTCTTTCTGCTTTTCTCTAAGAGGCTTAACAGACAACATTACAGCCACATTCCCTAATCTTTCTACAGTGTGAAAGTCTATACATGAAGCTCTTAGTTCAGGGATTTTATTTCCGGCCTCCTGGAATTCAATTTAAAGCTGTCCTGATCAAGTTCAGAACGTTTCTGCCAAATACATTTTACCAATTCTGGTAAGGTGCCATTTACAATACTCAGTAGCAGATGATCCTGGTGGCAAAATCTCTCCCAACATTATTATTATAATACCCAGTCATTTTATTTGAATTGTATATACTATTTTAGCTAAGCAAAAATAGCTATATTATTAGGGGTTCTTTGTCTGATGTATTTCTGATTAATTGTTAGAAATGTTATAATTCTTGTATCCCTGAAATAAATAAATTTTACATGCACACTAAATAGTAAGGAGAGGGGAGATAAAACATCTTGCTCTACATTCAGTCCTGAAGAAATGAATTATTTATCTATTCTGGTTCTTGGTTCTCTAACAGCAAACCAAAGAACAATTTTAGAAAGTTGCTTTTATTAAACAAGGAATAATTACAAAGATATTACCAAAACTTGAATACTTCTCCATTCAATAATGTGATTTTGGCTTATTCACTAAGCTTTACTGTGATATTTGAAACCAGACATTATAATATGTACAGTATGTTTATCATGGCAGGGACAGTCAACCATTTTGAAGCTGGGGAAATATTTTTTCATTATGTTTGATGTTGGGTGGGCGTAGAGAGTGAACTAATGCTATCGTGTAGAACATTTTTTTAGATTGCATTTTTTAGGTTTCTGAATTAGCTATTTAAGGTACAATAAGTCTATCCAAACATTATTTGTTTGTTTTTATTTCCACTGAAAATTGTAGAGACATTATTACCAGTGTCTGGTGATTTGCTGTTAAATTTTGGTAGCTGAGTCCCAGTGGCTCAGGAACTGCATGCAGTACGTACGTTAGTGCTGTGGGTAAATAAATCAGTCTGGTTAGTTCGTCAAGTCACATTAAAACTGAATTTTGCACAATGTAGATCTTAAAGCTATCTATTTTGTTTTATTCAGAATGAGGAATTTACCACAAGTACGTTCTTTTGTCAGCTGACAGAGTAGTACAATACTTTTGTTCTTTACAATTAACTAAAAAGGATAAGAATCAGAATGCTTTTAAAGCAAGTGTAAGTATAAGTATAGTACAAGACTGTAAGAATCAAGTGTTTCTGAAACACAGATATGCATTGGATGAATATTTTTGGCATTAGCATTGGAACATTTATTTTTAGTCCCTTCATTTAACCTGTTAAAGAGTGAGAGGTATAAATACATCAGATGCAGAAAACCAGAACATTTATAGATCTTGATTAAGAATAAAAATAAATTTGATTGCACTTCCAGGTTCTATTCAGCTGAATTGGTTACATCCATCAAAACTAGTTTGGTAACTTCAATTTTAACAGGATTGTACCTTTTCAATTCAACTGAAAGATACATGCTATATATACCTTAAAGGACAAAACAGAGGGACACTTTCTTTTCTGACCAATTTCCCAGAATATTCTTATGTTTTAATAATATAAACCCAGCTTCCTCTTTATTTATTTAGCTGTTTATTTGATTATAGTCTGCCTTTCTGTCAGTGAATGCCACATAAAGTAGCTTCTTACAGACTTGGATTGATTTGTTGCCCACATAAATATATTGGTGCTAAAAGGGACTTTGGTTGACAGTACATCTGATGCACCTGGTTATGTTCCCTAAGGCATTACATGGGAAAGTAAAATACCAGTCCAATACCCCGCATAGGATTCTACAAACTGGTAACAGTTCTCAAGAAGATATAGTGATAGCTACCAGCCTGGATGATTTTAAAACATGACCAGATAAATTTTGGAAGATAAGGCATTCTGAATTACAGTAGTCATAGATCATTTTCAGTAGCTGAACAGTCTACTTTGTAATACCAGTTGTAAAGAATGTAGTCATTAGAACATCCTGCCTCTGGGCTTCCTTTAAGTACCCTTAGCCACAGTAGAACTAGACTAACATTTCAATCTTCTATGTTCTTGTGTTATTACATTCCAAGAAAAAAGATAGTGCAAGCAAACCTTAATTTGGCTGTTACTTTAATTTTGCTTCAAAGGAAAACTTTTCACTTACTTTGAACTTGGGGGTAAAATGCTTTCAGTATTATTAACGAGTAAACTGAATATTTAATGTTTTCTATTTAAGAGAAAGGTATTTTATGCAATTTACCACACCCTACTACCTGCCAGAGGCCTTGAGCATATGAAACAATGATAAAGATGAAATGAAATGCTTAGAAAAGATGGCACTTCAAGAATTGCACTTCCCTTTTGTTGCATGAGGATAGCAAATGTAATACATCAAGGATGGACAACTTGTAATTTGGAGGTTTTGAACTTCAGTCCCATAATCGCTAAACAGCTTGGCAAGGATCAAGGGAACTATACTTCAGAATATCGGGAAGACAGTACTTGCGTACCTGATTTATACCTAGTACATTAAATAATTTCAATATGTATCTGGTTCACAACCGCTCAGTTCAAACACCGTTTGTTAGTATTTTAGCGACTCAGAAATGTATCACAAGATGAAAATTGTTAATATTTTAATTAAGGCACACTGTGGATTAAACCAATTAAAATCAAATACTGTTTGGTTTATGGTACTTCAATTTTATTTTATTTTCACAACCTTGCATAATTCTTTCTTAACTGATGACTGTATATAATTAATTTTTAAGACAGATGAGAAATAGCAGTAAAATAATCTCTGCTTGTGGCTCACAATATTGTACCCCATAGGCACTGGAGAGAAATTGCATAATTATACCATGAATGGTAAAATAAAGTTGGGCTTGCTTAACAATGGACCTTGGTATGAAGAGAGAGAGGGAAGAGGGAGGCACCATTTAAACTAAGGCTTTGCAATGCTAAGTATGGAAAAACTACTTGCCGCCTAGATACTTGATTGCTTTCTTAACCATCCTTTGCTTTTAAACCTATGTAACATGTATAGTAATCTTTGACCGTTATCAGGATTTGTAGCTACAATGCACTGTCATCAAATGTTAGACTGCTTTACCAAGTTTTTCAGGTTTAACTTCTAAGTAATATGGCAGACTTATGGGAAATTCATTGTTCCTAATAAGCATATTCCTCTCTTTATATGTAGTGAAAGCACACAAGATATTTTATAATTACACCAGTTGGGCAATTCTATACATGTCTACTCAAAAATACTTCACAGGTTTTTATTTAGTGTTTGAATTTTAATTCCACATGGTATTTTTCAAACAGAACTAAAATATTATATATTCCATAAAGCAATGAGGGCTAAATAAATGGTTGAACTAAAAAAAAAGCAGCATGTTAAAATCATAGAACTAAAGAAAGAATTAAACAGATTTAACAGCCTCACAAAGCAAATAACAATACTATTGACAAAAAATTGTAATAGATCTTCCAATTTTAGACACAAGGACTTCTGAAGATAATTTAGTGAGGTGGGGGGGGGGAAATTGCCTTTCAATTTAATTTTGATAGAAATGAACTAAACAAGAACTAAACTGTGTTATGTTTATTCAGGATCAAGATATAATTGTGCCTGCTAAATTTTATAACATACAAAATTTCCAGAATACTTTTCAGAATCTAATTTAAGTATTACTCTAGGGGGCCTTTTTAAAGATAAAAAGATACAGGAATGCAGCTTAAAAAAATCTGCATAGGTTAAATGAATGCACTTAACTATTATTTCAAAAGGACATACACAGAATGTCCTATTACCACTTTCCCAGCTTGGACTTGAGGATGTCATAAAGGAATTTGAGATACATTTAAAAACATGTAAAAAAACAAGAAAAAAAGGTAAGGAAATGATTGGTCCACTAGTGGGAGAAAGTGGCAAGAAGGTGATAAGCAACAGGGAGAAAGCAGAACAACTCAACTCGTTTTTTGCATCCATATTTACACAAAGGGAAAAAACAGTCCAACCTATCAAAAATAGTACCGTAAAAAACAGATTAGACACACAAGTTAAGATAGGCAAGAAAATGGTAAGTGAGCACCTGTCCAGCTTAGACGAGTTCAAATCACCAGGACCAGATGGACTACACCCCAAGATTCTGAAGGAACTGGCAGATGTGATCTCAGAACCACTGAACTATATCTTTCAAAGATCCTGGAGCACTGGGGAACTACCACAGGACTGGAAAAGAACTGAAGTGTCTCCCATCTTCAAAAAAGGAAGAAAAATGGATCCAGGAAACTACACACCTACCAGCGTGACCTCAATACCTGGGAAGATCTTGGAAAAGATAATCAAGCAACAAATTAGTGAACACCTAGAGGCAAATAAAGTCATTACCAAAAGCCAACATGGGTTTGTCAAAAACAGATCATGCCAGACAAATCTTATTGCATTCTTTGACCAGGTGTCGATATAATTTACTTGGACTTCAGTAAGGCATTTGATAAAGTAGACCACAACCTACTATTTGATAAGATAGAAAAATGTGGGTTAGGCAGCATCACCACCAGATGAATTCGTAGCTGGCTGACCAGCCATACTCAATATGTGGTCCTCAATGGAACTGCATCTACATGGAGGGAAGTGTGTAGTGGGGTGCCCCAGGGCTCTGTTCTGGACCCAGTGCTCTTCAACATCTTCATCAACGATTTGGATGAGGGGATAGATGGAGAACTTATCAGATTTGCAGATGATACCAAGCTGGCAGGGATAACCAACACTCCAGAAGATAGGCTTAAGATACAAAAAGATCTTGATAGACTTGAACATTGGGCTCTATCTAACAAAATGAAATTCAATGGTGAAAAAAGTAAAGTTCTACATTTAGGCAAGAAAAACCAAATGCACAGGTATAGTAGGTGGTACCTTGCTCAATAGTAGTAACTGTGAGAGGGATCTTGGAGTCCTTGTGGACAAATCATTTAAATATGAGCCAGCAGTGTGCTGCAGCTGCCAAAAAAGCCAACACAGTGCTAGGCTGCATTAACAGAGGGATAGAATCAAGATCACACGAAGTATTAATACTACTCTACAATGCCTTGGTAAGGCCACACTTGGAATACTGCATCCAGTTTTGGTCACCACGATGTAAAAAAGATGTTGAGACTAAAAAGAGTGCAGAGAAGAGCAACAAAGATGATCAGGGGACTGGAGGCTAAAGCATATAAGGAACGGTTGCTGGAATTGGGTATGTCTAGTTTAATAAAGAGAAGGACGAGGGGGGACATGATAGCAGTATTCCAATATCTCAGGAGCTGCCACAAAGAAGAGGGAGTCAAGCTATTCTCCAAGGCACCTGAAGGCAGGAGAAGAAGCAACGGATGGAAACTAACCAAAGAGAGAAGCAACCTAGAACTAAGGAGAAACTTTCTGACTGTTAGCACAATTAATCAGTGGAACAACCTGCCTCCAGAAGCGGTGAATGCTCCAACAATGGAAGTTTTTAAGAAGAGACTGGACTGCCATTTGTCTGAAATGGTATAGGGTTTCCTGCCTGAGCAAGGGGTTGGACTACATGACCTCCAAGGTCCCTTCCAACTTTATTGTTGTTGTTGTATCAGAATAATATCCACATTAGGGGCTGAGAAAAGTATATGACAAATAATCTTTTTAGACTCACAGCTGCTCCATAGGAAGACTGGTGTTAGCTGAGAGATAATGACTGATCGACCCAAAATCATTCAGAGGGAACCCAGGTTACTCATATAGTGATATTTAGTTGTCTTATTAAACATAAATATATTTCAGAAACTATAGAAAATAAATAATTAGAAGTGATTTTTAATGAATATCTCCCTTCATCTAATTGGGCATCCACAGAATTGCACTAGATTCAGACATTTGTAGCAACAGGGGGCTCCAAAAGACTTGTGTTCAGCCCATAGAAACCCCCCAATAATTGTGTATTCAGTCAC